GAAAGGAATAAAGGAAGGTAATAACACTAATGATGGGGATAGAAGGATGACTGGATGGTGGATGAAAAGATGGATGAGTGGGTGGATGGATGGATGGACAGGTGGATAGGTAAATGGTAGATGGGTAGGTGGGTGCATAGGTGAATGAGTGAGTGGCTAAATGAATGGATGGGTGGATGGATGGATGGTGGGTCATAGGTAAATGGATGAAAAGGGAGGATGGAGGAAGAAAGAAAAGGAGAAAGGGATGGAAGAAAGAGGCGGAAAAGGCAAGGAGGGAGAGAGGGAGGTAAGGATGCAGGAAAGATGGAAGGAAAGAAAAGATTAATTAAACCCAAGGCAGCACAGAAAGGTAGACTGATTTGCCTAAATTCCCATAATGTTGGAGCCAGAATTCAACCCAGTCTGACTTCACAGCCCACAACCTTACCTTTTTACACTAGTTGTGCTTTCTCCAAGACTTGACCCAGAGCCCATGGGTAAGGCCAGTCCCCAGGCGCCAGTCTCAAAGGCAAGACCCTGAAAGTCTGAGGTCCCAAAATGGGGTTGGGACATGGTTAAAGTCAGATCCTCTGACTTGTGGCTGGTGCTGGGGCTGAGGTCTTGGACGAAGTTCTCAAGATGACCTCCAGCTTGCTTCAGGGAAAGGTCTTGCTGGGGTGGCGGATGAGCCCCCTCCATCAAGGAGGGATGTGCTGAGATGTAAGGGGATGAGAAGGGGCCTTGTGAAAACAGTTCAGCTCCAGCTCCACTAGGGATGGAGACAAGGAAACCCAGGTATTAAGACTGGGTGCCCCAGAAAGCAGACTCTGAGACGGAGTTTAGCAGGCAGGGTTCAGGGGAGAGAAGCAGGGTGGGCAGAGGGAGAAGTTGACAATTGCCTTGGTCAACCACATAGGACATTCTGGAGTTAGAGCAGCTCTTCAGAGTAGTCCCCAGTCTTTGCCATCTCAAGTCAATCAGTCGCTGCATTGGCTACCCAGGAAGGGGCTGACTGACACCTGATGGCCATCCCCTGAAAGCCCTGCAGCAGCTGGAGCAAAACGTGGTTCCTTGAAGGGGGCTCTGTGTGACACACTACAGTATCCACTACTAAGGAAGTACGGTCCATTACGGCAAAATCATAAGGGCATTCTGTGTATCATTTTTAAAATAAATACATTGAGATACTCCATAGGGATACATAAGCACAAATTAATGATACATTTGCCCAGTGACTATAGAAGTATGCCTTCAGAAAGAAGATTCCATACTAAATGTAACCTAGATGTTTTCCCAAAAATTGTTTTTCCCCATTTTTAAAAACAATAACTCCCTTTCCCCCTCTCCCTGCATCCCCTAGTAGCCACTAATCTTCTTTGTTCACTATGCATCTGCCTGTTCCAGGTATTTTGTATAAGTGGGATCACAAAAGATTTGTCCTTTTGTGCCTGACTTATTTTGCTCAGCATCATGCTTTCAAGGTTCATCCATGTTGTGGCATGCATCAAGACTTCGTTCTCTTTACAGCTGAGTAGTGTTTCACTGTATGGATGGAGCATATTTTGTTTACCCATTCATCTGTTGATGGACACATGGGTCGTTTCTACCTTTGGGTTATTGTGGCATAGACACTGATGTACAAGTATTTGAATCTCTGCTTTCAAGCCTTTTGAGTATGTACCCAGGAGTGGAATCAAGGTTAGGTAGTGCCAAAGGAGCTCTGGTGGTGCAATGGTTAAGGCAGCCGGCTGCTAATCAGAAGGTTAGCACTTTGAACTCACCAGCCGCTTTGCAGGAGAAAGATGAGGCAGTCTACTTTCATAAAGATTTATAGCCTTGGAAACACTATGAGGCAATTCTACCCTGTCCTGTAGGGTCACTATGAGCGGAATTGACTCAATGGCAATGGGTTTGGTTAGGGTTGGGTAATACAAGCAGTTTGTAATTGGCTGCTCACCCTAAAGTTGGTGGCTCAAATCCACTCAATGGCATGGTAAAAGGAAGATAACAACCAAGAAAGCCCTAAGGAGTAGTTCTACTCTGTAACACACGGGGTCATCATGAGTTGGACCAACTTGAGGGCAGCCCACAACAGCAACATGGATCTCTGTGTTTAGCTTTTTGAGGAGCCTGTGTGTCATTTTATAGAAGAGGACTCTGAGGCCCAAGCAGGAAGAGGACTGGCCCAGGTGTCGTGGAGGTTCTGAGGGAAACAGAGAGCACAAGGACTCAAGCTAAGTCCTGGCCTTGCCAGGGCTCTGGACTTCTCCACATAGGAGCTGGGGCTGCAGGCAGCTGGGTAGATGAGCTGGTGATGCAGGAGCTCTGGGCTCTGGGGAAGAAGGGAGCCCTGGGAGTACCAGTGGGGTTCTGCCCCTCTCCCTGCATCCCTGACGTCACCATATGCTTGGGCACCAGAACCAGAGACCCAGGCATTGTCTTCACCCCTCCCTCTCCCAGAGTCACCAAGCCCTTGGGTCTGTCCACATGTCTCCCTTCTTCTGCTACTGCCCTACTGGAGACTACCATGCTGTCCTTGCCGGTCTATCAGCCTTCACCTTACCCCTGTCCAAGACAATCTCCACTCTGCAACTTGAATAGTATTTTTAGGCACAGCCCCCACCCTCCCATGATTGGGTGGTGCAAATGGTGCTCCAGTACTAACCAAAAGGTTGATAGTTCAAACTCACTCAATGCGGAAGAAAGGTCTGGCAATCTGCTTCCATAACAATTATTGTTCTTAGTTGATATCAGTTCCAACTCATGGTGACCCCATGGAATCAGCGTAGGACTACTCCAAGGCTGTGATCTTTTGGAAGAAGATCGACAGGCCTTTTTTCCAAGGCACCTCTGGGTGGATTCGAACCTTCAATCTTTCAGTTAATAGTCAAGCACATATCCCAGAAAGCCCTGTGGAGCTCAGTTCTGTAACACATGGAGTCACTCACTGTGAGTTGGAACCAATTGGACAGCAATGGGTTAGTGACGTAGTGCCTAAGGCATTTGACTGCTGACCAGAAGGCTGGTGGTTCAAACCCACCAGTCACTCCTCAGAAGGAATGTTGGACAATCTACTTCCATAATGACACCACCTCAGAAATCCAAGGAGGGGTCGCTATGAGTCAGATCCAACTCGACAGCAGTGAGTTTGGTTTACCCCACTGTTGGAAATGGAGAGATTAGATCCGAACTTGGCTGCTGGCCTGCCTGCCCCACGCCCCCACCCCCGCACCCTGTGCACCTCCAGCCGTCAGGAGCCTTTGCCAGTCATTCAGGGGCACCGCGAGCTCTCTGCCTGCAGCCTTCTGGACACACTGTTCTCGTGTGCCCTGGGATGCCCCTGCCTGCATTCTCTGCCCAGCCAATTCCTACTCATCCCTCCGCTCAGACGCTTCCTACAGAAAATGCCCCCAAGGGCCCCCTGAACAGTGTTAGCTGTTCCCCCTCAGTGCCTCCCAGCCCACTGCTCGGAACATTTTATCATTCTTGATTATCACGTCTGGGTTTAATCGTTTGTCTTCTGCAAATAATTAGCTCTATGAGGATAAGACAAGCCCTTGAGTGGCACAAACAGTTTACACTCAGCTGCTAATCTAAAGATTGGTGGTTCAAACTCACTTGCCACGAAAAAAAGGCCTGGCTGTCTGCTTCTGTAAAAATTATAGCCAAGGAAACCTCTATGGAGCAGTTCTACTCTGTAACACACGGGGTCTGACGGACCCGAGGGCAGTGGGTTTAGTTTGGTTGGAGCTGAGGGTAAGGGTGGAGCATTGGTGGCCCAGTGGGAGAATTCTCGCCTCCCATGAGTGAGCCCTGAGTTCAATACCCAGCCAATGCACCTCATGAGCAGCCATTGTGCATCTTTCAGCAGAGGCTTGCGTGTTGCTAGGCTGCTGAACAGGTTTCAGCAGAGTTCCCAGACTAAGACAGACTAGGAAGAAAAGCCTGGCGATCTACTGGAGCTCTGGTAGCATAGTGGCTAAGTCACTTGCCTGCTAACCAGACGGCTGGCGGTTCAAACCCACCAGCCACTCCTCGGAAGGAAGGTTGGGCAATCCTACTTCCGTAGTGATACTGCCTCGGAAACCCAAGGAGGGGTCGCTATGAGTCGGGGCCGACTCGACGGCACATAACAACAACAACAACTACTTCCAAAACTCAGACAGTGGAAACCCTATGGATCCCAGCGGTCCTGCCCACAACCAGTCACGGGAATGGTTCTGTGTGCACAGGATTGCCGTCAGTCGGGGGTGACTTGGCAGCTATGACAATAACCTGAGGGCAAAGGACTACGTGACTAGGTCCAGGGCTGTCATCAGCTTGCTACGAGGAAGGGCCCTGATGCCTGCCGAAATGAAATATAACAACAACAACAATATCATTTTCTATTTATCAAGGGCTGGCAAGGCTAACATCATCCCAAGGTCATCTCCTTTTACCTACACAAAA